GCATGTTAAAAATTACAAAGATGGCAACATCAGATATCATTCGAGCGGAATAAATCTACAAGAAGGTACATTTTCCATAGAAATTGTTATGCTCTAAACATTTTAATTTTCCAAATATTTTCGTGCGTTTAGAAATTGCACGTGCAAACAGGTCAAGTAGTTGCTACGCAAACCGAGAAGAATTAGTAATCGTTGATGTACGGATATTAAGATTGCAGAAGACGCGCAGGGCAGCCGCCGGCTCTGGCTTGCGGGTGGAGAAAGAAGCGCTGACTCGGAGACTGATAGCAAGTCGGGCTAATGAGGCTAATACTGATCTGGCCAGAAGGCCGAGTAAGTGAGCAGGGGAGAAGGCGAAGACACATCCCCGAGTTGCCGCCAAGGATAGAGGCCTGCGTGCGCTACTGACGCTGCTCAGTATTCTTAGCAGGTGGTGGCCCATCTGAGGACGGTCAGTGCAGAGAGAAGGGTTACAAAATTATGATTAATAATGGGGCTCTAATTAGCGAAAGTCGTACGGCAAGGTATAAATATTGCAAAGTAAAGTTAGGAGAGGCCGGTCACGGTAGCCGAGCGGTCTAAGGCATGTACTGTCTTCGCTCGCTCGGAAGCCGGGATCGTGGGTTCAAATCCCACTCAGGGCATGGATGTTTAGTTTGTGTGTGTGCGTCTTTCTGTGTTTGTGTATGGGTAGAGGCCTGGCGATGAGCTGATCACCCGCCCAAGGAGTCCTACCGAATGTGTAAGATCTAGAAAAACCGAAGTAAACGGAGAAGTTCATGGAGGTAGGCCTAGGCCCACTGGGGCTGTAGTGCCAAGGAAAACAAAAAAGTTAGGATAGAACCATAACCTCATCATTCGAAATCTTTTTCCCTATCCACTAGAAATTCCTCAAAGTTAATATTAAAATATGGAAATCATGTGAATGGTCTGATGGCAGTTTCCGTTTGGAGGGAAACTCCACAATAATTTGGGCAAGAGTCGATTGGGACCAGCAGCCACAAGTGTGGCTGAAATCCAATCTCAACATCCGGACACAATAGTGGTACCAAAAAGGCAAAATTGTTCCTGTGATTAATTAATCACTACGCCATTAAGATATATGGGGGAATGAATGTATAGATCCACGCATTCTTGACGTCGGCAGTGGTTTGAGATGAGTGGTCAGCTTCACGCCCCGACCACTTTACTCCTGGGGAAAAAGCCCCCTGTACCCAATGGATAGGAGGCTGGGTGGGAACAGAGCCGGCCTGGACGCTGTGTAGAAGAGAAAAATGCCGTGGTCCTTGGTATCGAGCACTGACCGTCCAATTAGCATCTTGTCGCTACTCTGACTGAGCTGTCATGGATCCGAAATGATGAGTTACATGTTTACAAAGTTTAGTTATTTCCGTAATTACTTCTTGAAGCCTCAAGCGCTGCAACTGAGTGATTAACAGGAATGCTCTTTCATATTCGGGAGGTACTGGGTTGGGATTTCGGCCCGAATGCAGACTATCCTAGCAAGGGATTTTCGTTTCTTCCTCACCCCATGTAGGAAAAAGCTTAAATAGGCCAAACAGCTTTTCCCCTACCATTTAAAAATGCATAATTCATTATCATCCAACCGTCCGACGTTGTGTAAGTATAACCAGAGTACTTGCTGCAAAGGCGCCGTTACATGAAATTGGAGTGTTAGTGAAATCTTCACAACGAATATTCTTTGCAAATTAACAAACAAAGAAGCAAATAAACAAAATTAACAAACGAACTGACTTCATGGAGCCGAGTCCTCTTTCAGAAGCTATCAGTTGGTCAGCAACTCAAAACATCCTCAGCGTTTTATGGAACTCAAAGATTTTCGCCGTGTTCACAAGAACCCACCACTGGACCTTATCCTGAGCCATATGAATACAATCCACACCTCTAATCATATTTCTCTAAGATCCATTTTAATATTATCTTCCCACCCAATTTTTCTTACACCTTTTGAAAACATTCTCCCATCTTCCCACGTAGATAATGTAAGTTTATACTCGAGTGAATATAGCCCTGTCTTGTTCGAGCTGTATTCCCTTGACAACAATGGACGTTAATTGAAAGCGGGGCGGGGGGTCATGGTGCAGTGGTTGATAAAGTGGTAATGACTATGCAGTTATCGCGAGAACGAGATAAATGAGCTTTATGCAGTGCTGGGAGGGGTTAGTGAACACGTGAAAGAAACCCACAAAAGCTGCCACAAGAGCGGAATTGAGAGCAGATGAACTTCGCAATGTCCTGTCCGTCCTGTCGTTACGGCAGTTGTTAAATGGCATTGACATACAGAGGGCACTGAGGAAGCGAGACACATACCATTACAAGAACATTTCTTCAGATGTGGGGGATGAAATCTGTCTAAAGTAAGAAGGCAAAGATGTGGATTGGATTGAAGAAGCTCGGATTAAATAAATTCTTATATTTTTTCCTAATTAACCTACTGTACGGAGCAAAATCCTTCTTGATAATCTAATGGTCGCTCAGCTAGTCATGAAATTCAGCGCTTTTTTTATGAAATATTAATTTCGTTCTTGTGTGTGTTCCTGTCACTGGAACTTATCTTAAACCAAATGGATCGAGTCGACACTGTCACACACTATTTCTATAAAATTCAATTTAATATTCTCCGAGCTACGCCTAGGTCTTACATATTATTCTTTCCCTTCAGATTTCCAAAAAACTCTTTTATGCATTTCCCATCTATCCCCGTACTTGCTACATGTCTAGCCTATACAATTCTTCTTGAATTGATCCCCCCCCTGATAATGTTTGAAGAAAACTTATGAAAGTCCTCATTATGTGTACTTTTAATCGTCTAAGAAATTAGGTCGCAATGACAGCATATACAGCATGGCGAGTTAACAGGTTTGGTGCACGAAATGTATGTGGACCTCTCTTCCCAAGCGTGTTGACACTGGCGCAGCAGGGGATCTTTACCGCATGACACCGAAGTGTTGAAACTGAACTTCGATCGCAGACATTTTCACTATTACTTTCTTCAAAACAACGTAACTAATAAACAGGAGTGGAGCATGTTTGCTTACAGATTCCAGAGCTTCTCTGCACGCTGAAATGAAATTTTGTCAAGTATCTCAAAAACGGCTCATAACATCGAATATATGAAAAATATGTATGTCTATAGACACTCTGTTACATAAGCTGCTTTCATGAATATTAACAGCTGATATCAGAGACTGTTGGCAGATCCATCTTCCGGCAGTATTAGTACCTACTGCAGCCTTCGGGCGAGCATTCATAACCTCACTCAATGTCATAGTGCCATTTATATATATATTAGGTTGAGGGGCTATGCTATAAGGCGGAAGGTCGCGGGTTCAAGTCCCGATGAGGTCATTGGATTTTTTTCAGTTGACCTAATCCTTCCAGCCGCACTAAGCCCTGGGGTTTACTCAGCCTCTAACAGAAATGAGTACCAGGAATTAATTAAATAATTTTCCGGGGGAGTAAAGCGCGGCCGGCGCGTAAGGCTGACAACCTTACCGTCAGCTTTGAGCCGATTGTCTAGATAATGAGGGACCCTCAACGTTTCACAACCCTATGGGACTTAACGGTCTGGTACAGGGATAGCTTTACTTTATATATATAAGACACTTGGCATACGTGCCCCAATAACAGGGCGGTTGCCCCCAGTTTCTTGCTTTGTCCCTGTGCTGTAAAGTCGAGGGTTCCACAGGACGCTGTGTTCTGTCAACAATCGGTACGTACTCTTTCAATATAGTCTTACGACACGAAGCCTTTATCACTGTCACAACAAAAGTAATTTTTGAACTCTGCTCTCAGCTGCTACATATTCAAACTCCTGAATTATATTCCGGAAAATTTTATTTTAATATTAATTTAATTTCTACTGTCTTGTCGTTTAACTGTATGAAGTTCCCAGATCAAAATATTCGTATAAATACCTTATTTCCCCACCAATGCTCTAAATTCCATTTATCTGTACGCGAAATATGCGTTGATATACTCCATATTTAAAGCAAAAACACATATGAAACGGATTTGCATCTGTTAGGGGCACATCAACTATATAGGAGTATCTCTGTAAGCTTGTACCTGGTCCAGAGTGACGTCACACTCCTCTCTGTGTACCCATGACACTGACCTCTCATTGCAGGATGCTGTTCTGTTAAGTACCGAGCCTGTTGGCTCAGGCGGTATGCTTCAGACTTGGATGAGGGAAGGGTCCTGTTCGAATCTCGACACGACAGCCATTACTCTGACTGAGGGTGTTCGTGATTTTTCTCAGTCCTTCGAGGCAGATGCAGAGATACTTGGAACGTATATGTCAGCCTCGGAGCCTTCATAGTCGGTCTGGCTACGTCTGTATCTCAGTCGGGTTTATTAGGTTCCTGAATTTGTTGTCGATTCTTAAAATTCAGAAAACATTCCTACTTTTACTGCCAAAAAATAAAAAACTAGTAGTGAAGAGGACCGTAAACCAAATACTAAATAGATTACTAGGGAATAAGAGAGACGAAGTAACAAGGGGGAAGTCGTAACACATTTTAATGTGTTACGCTGTAGCGTACTTGATTGAGGCACTATTCTACAAGCCGGAAGTTCGCGGGTTCGGTTTCCGATGAGGTCATTTAATTTTTCAATGTGCCTAATCCTTTCAGCCACACTATGACATTGGGGTCAACTCAGTTTCTAACAGGAGTGTCAGGAATCTCTCTGGGGGGTTAAAGGACGGCCGGCGCATAAGGCTGACAACCTCACTGCCATCTGTAAGCCGATTGTCTAGAAAATGTGGGAGCCTCGACCTCTCACAACCCTATGGGCCTCCAAGGCCTGATAGAAGGCTAACTTTACTTTCTTTTATAGTTAGGATTTAGCAGGAGAAAACGAGTGTAAATGTAATTGGATCCAGAGGAGATACATCGCTATTATCCGTCTTATCTGAATGCCATTTAATCCTGTTTCCTGTACCAAGTTACGTAACAATATTACGAATAACACAGTACCTGCTATGCCATCAGCATTGGAGACGCCGTCATTCCGGAAGTCATGGGCGAATATTCCGTACATGGGTCCCTCCTGCCACCATTCCATCTTACGGCATCGAGGTGCAGTGACTATGAGGACGACCGCAGTTGCAGACAGCGCAACAAACGTGAACCAGAAGAAGACGAAGCAGAAACACCGAAGTCTCACCCAGAATGGGTCATTTGAGTAATCCATTAGCTTCGAAATCGGCATTCCTTTCCATTGGTGAGATACAGGCTCGTCTGCTTTAGGGATCAACAGTCTGGTCTCCTCAGTTTGTGACATTGTGTTGCCGGTCACAGTGACAGAAGTGTCGCGGTCCCTGTCAACTTTATATTGGCCTACCCCTTCCCCACAGCAAGGTCGTTAGTCGCGGTTCATTGAAGACGGGGCAAGGTCATGGCTCAAAGTCTGAAACCTTCGCAGAGTTTGGTGGGTCTGCTTCCACAGAACAGTTAGAACATTCGCCTTCATTAGTCATAACGTAGAATATCTGAAGACAGGCTGAGGCATGAGTCAGGGTTTAATAGCCTGTATTTTCGTTCATGATGTGTATGTATTGACCGTCTTCTAGTGCACACAATCTCACATGTCACTGCACTACATGTTTCGGCATGACAGTGCCATCCTCAGGTGTGTTATTTACGTTAAACTATTGCACTGTTCGCCATCATGTGTCGTTTATAAAATTATTTAAAATTATATTCTTCATGTACTATAATAACATTTATTTATTAACATTTGTTAAGATTTATCATCTTATACGTCGCATTTCAAACTCGCGTATTATATCAATCTTCCGCTATGGGAGTCGTTCTTCCTATGTTTTGTGTATACCTGCAACGTGAAAATGGTATGTGTCTTGTGATGTGTCCTTTTGTGGCTGCGTGCGTTGTAGTCTAGTAGTGTAATGTAGTGAAGTGACAAGTGAGATTGTCTGCACTAGAAGACGGTCAATACATACACATCATGGACGCGAATCAGTGCAACAGGACGCTAAAATACATTATTAGCCTGTATTTTATTGATGGGTCTGTCAAAAATTCTCGGAACTATGGAAATATCGTCTATTCACCATATTTATACACAGTACAGGAAATTTATGATGTAAATTACGATTTTGAATTAAATCTGATATTCCATATTGTGAATTCTAATTTAAGTATAGTGTGATATAACAACGTGCGAGTTTCCGTGGAGGCCTAGATATTGCAGGCTCAACCATTTCTTCAAATACAATAAAACCCCTCTTATCTGACCTTCGGTTATTCGACTTGACTTGAGCACTTCTGCAAACAATGCTTTTTAAGATTTTGCCGTGTATATGAATTCTTCATTTATAAAAATTTAATTTATATGGACAAATACCGTCTTAAGTGCAACAATTTTATTGTAGTTTTTACTTCTTTTTCCTCCTCCACACTACATGTTTCGGCCCTAAATGGCCATCATCAGGTGTGTATCACTCACGTAACTGTTACACTGCTTGTTAAAAATGTAAAAATCCCAGTCTTTCTAATTGTATAAAATCTTTGTTAATCTACACGCGTCGATTTGATTTTTAAATTAGCACTTTTTAAACCTTAATTCAAGTTAAAATGTCTATAAGATCTTTGTTCTCTTTCTTTTTCAAATTAAACTTTTCAGGGTACATGCCCTATATCTATAGTGATGCAGCGGCCACTTCTTGTTTTTATCGCTGTTCATGTGTTGTTCAGTGTAGGCGCTCTCTGTGTGTGTCGCTGCTTATCTTTAACATGTAGTGTGGAGGAGGAAAAAGAAGTAAAAACTACAATAAAATTGTTGCACTTAAGACGGTATTTGTCCATATATATTGTGTGAGTGTAACAGGATGCTGAAATATAATATTAAAAATTTAATTGTTCACTTATTTTTGACGTTGTTACCAAATAAATATTATTTACGTGCTCGTTTTTAATGACATACCTTTGAAGCAAGTAGTGTAGATATTTGCTTCGTGTTATCAAGATTATTCATAATATCTGATATTTTTTTAGTTATTCGACAGCATTTCGTTTCAGTTTAGGTCGGATAATCGGGGTTTTACTGTGTTCTTTCTTTATGGTGAGAGATGAATTGCAGAAACGCATACAGCAATAGGTAAATCTGTACATATGTGAATTTGAAACTTTACGTTTCAGGCAGGGGACGGGAAGGTAACAATTAAAGACTATTATCGCAGATAATAGAGTATTATTAGTAGTGGGTGACTGAACAACATGCAGTGTGTGCTCCGTGAGCTTGACGTGTTAGTCCCCACATTTCAGGAGTGAATAAGACCGAATACGCCTATCTAAGGGGCCCATACACGTACGAATCCGGCTCACGAGTTCGACTCGGCTCGGGTTCCAATGAGCCAAACTCGTCCGTGTGTGGGTCGCCACGAGCCGGGCTGGGCCGAGTCCGGTGGGGCTCGCCAGGGCCTTCGGTAGGACTCGGCGCGGCGAAGGATCGCTATTGGTTCGTACGTGTTTGGGCGGTCCCGGGCCAGACTCGCGTATCTACACCCCACACGAACAGACAGCGTGATGAGTTGTGGTACTACGGAGGAACCATGTCGGCTTCCATGTGTAACAAAACATTCATGAGCCCGGAGTTTTTGACACGGTTTTTAGAAGAGTACCGTGCATTGCCACTTCTGTGGCAGGTTCGCAGCACAGAGTATTCGAACAAGGGAAAGCGGGATGAGGACTGGACAGTATCCGGGCATCATTTAGGAAAGAACTGCACCGAGTTCGGGAGAGCAAGAGAAGGGGTGCGTCTGGGGATGACGTCTACAAGCCAACGCCGTGGTACTTCGACCTGCTTTTGTTCACGGCAGACCAAGAGAATCCTCAGAAAAGCAAAAGCAATTTGGATGAAGAAGCTGAAGATGTTGATGGTGATGGTGATTCACAAGAAACAAGAAACTCGGCCGGGACTCCGGATACCCTGAGTGGGTGTTTTCATATTTTTCCTCAGGTCCTTCGAGACAAAATTCTGAATGTTACTTCAATTAGGTCATGACCGCTGCCTTCCAAACCTTTTCATGTAATTAGTCATCTTATCACCCGACGCTATGTAAGGACGCTGATAGTGCCGTTAAGTAACCAACTAAAAAGAGAGGGAACAAAATTTTGAATTCTATTACGGATTACTGTGGACACGCGGTAGCGCAGTTGGTTGAGACACTATACTACAACCCGGAAGGTTACACGTTCTATTCCCGATAAGGTCACTGAATTTTTCCATTGACTTATCCTTCCAGCCACACTACAGTCCTAGGGTCGACTCAGCCTGTAACAAAAATGAATACCAGGAATCTTCGAGAGGATAAAGCGCTGCCGGCGCGTAAGGCTGACCTCACCACTTGAGCCGATTGTCTAGTAAATATGGGAGCCTCGACGTCTTACAACCCTATAAGCCTTCACGGTCAGTTACAAAGATAGCTTTACCCTTTTTATTAGGGATTACTATTTCTCCCTATTCTTATTTTTTTGTTATATTGCTGTATTATGCGTGCTGCGTGGCTTTCAGTGCATGACGCAAAGGATGCACAGTGTTTAACGAAAGGTTCCTTCACCCAGACTGGGCTGCGTCTGTCCGTCGCATTAACGGCTCATGCAGTCATTTCGAGAGTATGTAGTCTCAACTGTTAAATAAACCGTACATAAACAAATATATCTTAAACTATCGGTACTTTATTAACCACATATCAAAACATGACGGCCATGCGAATTTGTGAGGTGGGATTACCACTATTGAACTTTGTATGATGACGGCTGATTGAAAAATGTTGCAACATTTATAAGAATAATTTTACTAGGAAATAACAACGAAGACCTTCGTAATTTATAATCTTTCAGCCTTCATCGGATATTTTATGGTTATCTAATCAAAGAGGACAAATCGGAAGAGCATGCAGCACACAAAGAAAGCATCATTAATGCATAAACCGATCTACCTGTAAATGCTGAAGGCATGAGACCAGAAATAAAGCCTGGCCGTGTATTGAAGAGTAATACTGATAGAGATCTGAAGGAAACAGAATGGCATGTTGCGGTTTGGATGCCCGTGGCTCAGCGTAGGCACAAGTCGGCTGCTCCTGTGACACTGCAGTGAACCTTTGGATTACCGTAAAGCAACAATCAGCTTCTGGAGGTCTGCGTTCCATTGACGATAATGAAAACACGACTTTCGCATAGCGTAACGATGAAAACTGTTGATGCGTGTGAAATATACAGGAAAATATATTTAAGCATATAATTTTTTTGGAGTCGGCAACCACCCACGGAAATTGGCTGTTCGCTGCAACCGACTGATGTGGGTTAAGTGACACCAAGCTGGCCAAGCTCAGCTCATAAACGGGAGCATCTTATCGTGCACTCTGATAGAGTTGTCTGTGTCTTCTTCAATTCTACTCCAGGTCCAGCAAAGCTGCGATCGACTCTTACTCAGTTCATCCGTCTTAGTGTCGAGCTCTTTCTGGTGCCCATGACCACATTCATTTTTTAATTGTTTAGACGATTGCAGCGTTTATCGCGGTGGGGCGCCCTCTCTGACGAGAGGATGGGCCTGTCTTTTGTCTACTATGTTTCTCACATTTTCGCTGTAGAGAGTGGAACGGAATCCGCACACAGACTGTTCATAACGTGAGTCATAGTCGAGAGAGAATTAAAAAATATAATACAACGTATATCCTACGCCGCTTAGTTTAGTCACCCTCATATTTCTGGGCAGCCGTATTTGTCACGCCGATATACAGCGCATTGTTAGGTGCACTCAAGACGCAGAGTTTAGAGAAGAGGTCAATTGCGATCGATCATGGCCTACACACACGACGAATACAGCGGCATGCTCTTATATCTCGGAACCTCTACTAGTCTTGCAGTTCAACAGCTCAGACTGGTACATTGTACGCCTGAAGATGACCCGTGTAGGGGTCGAAACATGTTGCGTCTTTAATAAACCTAATAAAAGCAAATGTTGATGCAGTAGTATCTTGTAAGATTTGAGGCTTTCACGGCGGTGACTATGAAGAAAGCAGTCTTCTGGGATTTGGCACCGTGTATATGTGGTGTTAACCGACGTTTCGGAGGAACGTATCGCCTCCATCTTCAGGGTAGAAGAAAAAATATAAGAAATCTGCAAGCGAAGAGACCGTGAGAACCGGTAAAAGCAGACGTGTCTGCTCAGCGCGGTCTCAGCTCAATGGAGACCTGGTGTGAGCGCTGGAATATAAAAATTAATGAAGATAAGACTCGGGGGGTCTACTTCTCTCGTGGTCGTCGACCGCCTGAGTCTTGTCTTACTCTAAATGGAAGAAATATTCCATTTGTAAATAGTGCAAAATATCTAGGTGTAATCTTCGATAAGAGAGTGACTTGGAGATTACACATAGAAATGATCGAAGCCAAGGCCTTCAGAACATTCATTAGAGTGTATTCCATATTCAAAAATGAGCGATTGAGCGCTAACATTAAACTAACCCTCCATAAAGCTCTTATTAGATCCGTAATGACTTATGCTAGTCCCGCCTGGGAGTTCGCGACAGACACCCTTCTAGTGAAATTGCAGCGCCTGCAAAACAAGGTTCTCCGCACCATTGGCAATTTCCCAAGGCGCACACCGGTCCACGATTTGCACATGGCATTCAAAATCCCGTACGTATATGATTACATAACAAAATTATGCAG